GTGTAGAGTTACTCACATAGTGTACTAGCCATCATCAAGGCAAAGTTTCCGTATCTGTGGAACATGAAGGCTCTTATCATGGAGCGTCCAAACATCATCCGCACCGGTATTGGCAACTCCACGGACCCTGTCAACATCGATGCAATTCTCACCCTAGGAGGTGACAGCGATGGCGGCGACCACACCAATGGTGTCAGCACTGGTCTCAGCACCATTCCAGACGAACACAACCCCCACCCGCTCACAGACAAGGCACCCAGCAAGCGCCGTCTCTCCTTGCTGGACGAGACATGGAGCTCGGACACAGAAGAGGAAGACAGTCATGAGCTCGACAAGGCCATCGCTGCTCAGAAGGCCTCGCGTACGACTGGCTCCGAAGTCTCCTCCACATCTAGCAAGAACAACGCACCTATGCCAACCCCTCAAAAGAAGACTCCCGCTTGATCTGGCACGTCTACGCCTGCGAATAAGGGCTCATCTGGTAAGGGAAATAAGAAACTGAAGTACGGTGAGCAATTCAACGAGATCACAATGGCCAAAGAGGAGACGCGCCAAAAGCAACTCGATGTTCAGCTTGCAAAGACCGATCTCGAAAAGATGAAGCTGCAGGCGAAGATCGAGGCACAGCGTGCCAAAACACAGTTGATAGAGATGAAGCTCAAGCAGAAGCACACACTGGAGCTGGAACGTCTACGCATGAAGGCACAGCTCAATCCCATCCTCGCATCTTCGAGTCCGGTGTCGTCATCCTTCCTCCCAGTGCCGTGGATGAGCAATCTCTCCGCACACACTTTCGATGCTGCCAGTGCGATGAATACGAAGGATGGCTTTGAATGGGGTGGAGATGCGCTCAGTGGACAACGTAGTAGGCAGGCAGATGGGGAGAACAATTGGGCATGGGACCAGTAGCACGATAGAGTTATACTACAAGCGCGCATGGCGGTGTGCACGGCGGCGCTCCTTTGAGCACAACAACGCACTCCTTGTTCTCCTGTCTAGTGCATATCTTGCTGGATCTTTCTGAGGCACCGACACGTCCACGCTCGTGCCCCATACCCTCAAGAACTCCTTGACAGTTCACACCCTGCTCTGCACCTAGCCAGGCACCTTCGTCAGTGCAGCAGAGTCATGCCATCGCGGCGCTGAAGAAACAGTATCCCTAGTGTCCGTATATAGGCTGCACCCCTACCTAATGTTTTTTGCACATCCCTTTCCCTCCATAGAAGCTATATACTGATTTTTTCCCGCAGTGCGTGAAGGCTACGATGTGGAGAACCCGGACCAGCTCACCTATGGACCATGAGGCGCCCGGGGCTTGCAGTCATCTCCATAACAGGACTGGGCGTCTGGCCCAACGTTGCGCGTGGTGGCGCGCCCGAGTCGAGTCCAACCTGCACCTCCACACGTTACCCAGCTATACTCACCACTTCGAGACAACTAACGACGCTGACGGTGGCTACAAACATGTCGCAACGAGTCTTCAGCCGACGAGTACTATACCTTCGGCCTGGGGAAGACCCGCCCCCGTCTCTCCTGTCACGGACGTTGGACAGACGCCCCTTTTTGCCGCCCATTCCCCTCCCCTTGACGCCCACCTTCCATTTTCGGACCATTTCCTTTCTTAGCCCATCCCAGTTTGGGCACTGCAGATACGTTCCCACACCCGCATGCTACGTTCCCGTGATCGCCATGCCTTTGCCTTTTCCTTCCCGCCCTTTGTTCTCCCTTTGTCATCTTCACTGCCTCGCTCTCGCGCCTTGTCCTTGGTTGCTAAGCAGCCCCTCTAGTATATAAGGACCCCCCTAGGCGCTCCCTAGTCCCCATCTCGACCTCTTGGTCATTGGGACTAGGTGAGTGACCATAGTGTTGTATCTCTCTTCGATTGCTAATGTATAACTTGGTCATTGGGACTAGTCTGTCGCTATCTGCGTGAAGACTAGCTTCGTAGGTCTTGTGCCTTCGTGCCGGCCTCCGCTCTGCCCCGTCGAGTTTCTTGTTGCGTTTATCCCTCTTTCCCTCGCTTTCCCCCTTTCGGCTCCTCGCCGCTCGCCTACGGGGTCGTCGCCGAACGTCGACCCGAGTCTACGCGCCTAGTCGCCGCGACATTAGGTCGAGATCTCTCCCCCGGTGCTGACGCTCTGAACAAGAGTGTCCCCGCCGCCGCTACATTGCCTCCCCCACCCTGGACTGCGCCGGCAGACTTCACGCGTGGGACACCG